TCTCTCTCTCTCTCTCTCTCTCTCTCTCTCTCTCTCTTTTCCCACATCAAAAAAAATACTTCTGAGTTGAACAGTGCACAGGCCATTACTTTTGGAACAGTCACGGATTCGTGGTTGAGCGCACTGCGCGGCCACTGAAACATACTTACTTTAAAGACACTCCCCCCTCACCGCCCCCCCTTCTCGTTTCGCAAGGAAACTCCTGAGAGACGGTTTAGTGCATCGAACTGCATTTCTGATCCAGTTGGGAAACATGTCCACTATTTACCAGTTGTAGCGGGGCGTTACTTTCATAAGTTTGTCATAAGAAATGTGGCCTGTGGAGCCCCTTGCAAATTTACGAATGAAACGGCATAGATAAAAATAAATTTAAAAAAACTCAACTAGGACTGTGGAGCACAAGCCTTATTTATCTTGCCCCTCATCCGGAAAATTCGGGAAAATATATATGTATATAAAAAAGAAATGGAATGATGGTTCAAATCGTTCAATCTGATTTATGTTCCCCCATGAAGGTAAAAGCTGACCTGAAGCTGAAAAACTACAAGTAGGGTACAAACCCTAGCGAAGGTGGGGACCACACACACTTCCCCTCTTCTTTCTACCACCCCCATTCTTAGCTAGTAAGAGAGATTGAGGTCCTGTACGTGCCATGTGGCTGAATGTAACTGTGTAAACACCAGTGCGTTTCCGAGGCTTTTTTTTCTCCGTCTGATGACTCTGATCATTAACGCGCAACGACCTTCGGGGTTCACGACTGCCATTGGTGTCAGCAGATCAGTGTTCAAAGCTCAGATCCTGTAATAGAGGAGGGGGGGTGGGGAAGAGGGATGGATGTCCTCAAAAAAGGGTAAGCGATTTCCAAAAGGAAAGAAAAGAAAAGTTGCCCAGGTTCACTTCTCTAGTGTGTTTCTGGAATACAGAGAGAACATTGCCCCTCCTCACATGGTCTTATGGTTCAATTACTTTTCTTTTCTTTTTTTAATCATTTAATGTACTACGGTACTACTATCCCTCTTGGAGGCAGAGGAACGTCAGAACTGTTACTTTGTTCCCCACCCTCTTTTTCCCTTTTTTTTTTTTTTTTGGACAAATGCTCCACGTGGGGAGCAACACGTGCTGGGAACCGGGCCCGGCGTCCCGTATAGAATTATACGCGCCCCCCCCTCTCCCTCCCCCTCCCCCTCCCCCTTTTTCCTAATTTGGCAATTAACAGAGTTTCAAAATCCTTCTTTGCCTTCCTGCAGGAGCTATCATGTTTGGCCACAAAATTCTGCCGACGGAGAGCAAGCTACTGATTTCCCAGTTGGCGAAAACACAGCTCCTCTTCCAGGTCAGACGCCCCACGGTCTCTCAGCATCATCAAATCCTTGCCAAGCTCAAAAACCAAAAAAAAAAAGAGCAACTTGGCAGCTTAGGAGCAAAAGATGCAAAAGTATATTCGTTTGCCGGGAGTTTTTGTTTCTCTTTCACATTCTTGTTTGGTTGCCAGCTGCTCTTCTTTTTTCTCATTTTTACAGTTTTCCCTTGCTTTTTTTTTTTTTTTTTTYYTTATATATCGTCAAATAGAACTGCCCGGTAAACCGTAGGCAGAGAGGGAGAAGAGGACAACAAATGAGGGGCTGTGACAAACTGTTTCGTCGGAGTTTCACCGACTCATCAGGAGGCTGAATATATAAGGCTAATTCTTTTAAGCCCAACCAATTCAATTACCTGTTGAATCTGGACAGGACAGCCTTTCAGGCTTTTTTTTCTAGGTTACCTGATTGGACGTCCGGCACCCCCCTGACCATCCGGGGTTGTCCGCTCGGACAACAGGTCGGACATCCTCCCCAGGCAGTCTGTCCCAGCCCGAAAGCCCAAAAAA